ATTCCTGTTCCTTCTCATCTCAGCCTGCACTTGTTGTCAGAGCTCTGAGTTTTCATCGTTCTCCTTGGAGTAGTGGTATCTTGTTATTCTGTTTGCCTCATGGCATGTGACATGGAGCGTCTTTTCATTACTTACTTGCCATTTGTGTAGCAGTCTTCCTCCATCCGCAGGGGATAGTACTGAGCCTCATATAATTTTTTCTATGATAGTTTAATTTGCAAATCAGGCACAGTAAGAGATTGAAAACTAGTAAAAAAGTTATAACATATTATAAAAAAGTTATGTGTAGAGCCGGGGGTTTAGTTCAGTGGTTCCACCGCCTGCCTCTCAAGTACAAGGACCCAAACAAATTCAATCGCCGGTAAAAAAAAAAAAAAGAAGTTATGTGAATGTGGTTTCAAAAAATCTCATTGCACCGTAAACCTTGGCAAACTCAGCATATGATTCTTTCTCTATTGAGAGCTTTCACTTTTTTGCTTATAGGAAGCATCTTATGGTTTCTGTTTGGCATATTCAAATTGCCAGCACTACTACTGTAACAGTAAATCTCACAGACTGATGAGCAGTAAGTGATTAACAAGTGTACACCCATGGATGTGCTGGACAAATGGATGACTCAGGTCCCGAGATGGAGCAGGATGGTGAGAGATTTCATCACACTACTCAGAACAGCACACAACTTCAACCTTATGAGTTGTTTGGGGAATTTTCTGTTTAATGTTTTTGGCCTGCAGCAAAACTGAATAAGGATGAACTACTGTGTATCTGCTGTGGTGTCTGAAGATCTTTTTTAAAAGGTTAATTTTTTAAAAAGGGGTTATTATTGAATTTTAAGGGTCATTTGTATACTTTTGGTGAGATGCCTTTGTCTAATGTCTTTTGCAAATGTTTTCTCCCAGTTAATGGCGTGTCTTTTCATTTTCTTACAGTGTCATTTGTCAGTGAAGCTCAGTTTACATTCATTCTCTCATTCATTCATTCGTTTATTCATTTATTGGAGACAGAACCTTGCTATGTAGTTCAGCATAGTGAACTTATGTAGCCTAGGCTGGCCTCAGACTCATGGCAGTCCTCCTGCCTCAGCTTCCTGAGTGCTGGGATTATAAGTACGTGCCACAAGGCCTGGCTGCTTACCAGTTTTTTTGTTTTGTTTTGTTTTGGTGTTTTTGGTACTGGAGATCGAACTCGGGTCCTTGTGCTTACAAGGCAGGCGGCGGAACCGCTGAACTAAATCCCCAGCCCTTGCTTACCAGTTTTTTTTAAAAAAAGAGCAGTGTCTCTCCTGTTTTACCTAAAAAGTCATTGCCAAACCCAATCTCATCAAGATTTTCATCTATGTTATCTTTGCAAGTTTTGTAATTTTGCATTTTACATTTAGGTCTGTGATTCACCTTGATTTAATTTTTGTTAAGTGTATAAGTTTTGTGCCTGGTCTTAGTTTTTGTTTGCATGTACGTGTCCAGTTGACTCAGTTTCTCTGATATTGGTTGATTTCTTTTTGTGTGAGTTTTGGCAGATTGTGTCTTTCAAGGAATTGTCCTATTTGTTTTTTGAGACAGGGTCTTACTATGTAGTTCAGGTTGGCCTTGAACTATGTAACACAGAGGGGGCCTCAAACTCACCCCAATCCTCCTGCCTTAGCCTCCCAAGGGTGAGATTACAGTCATGCACCATCATAGCCAGCTAAGCACAATTAATTTAGGTCATCAGATTTTTGGAAGAAAGCTGTTCATAGCAGATCTCTGTTGTGAAATATCTCCTATTTCTGAGATTAGTTGTTTTCTTAGCCTGGCTAAAGGCTTACTGCTTTTTACCAGTTTTTTAAAGAACCAGCTTTTGGTTTCATTGACTTTTTCTATTAAAATTATTTTCAAAAAGCTGGGCGTGGTAGCGCATGCCTGTAATCCCAGCACTTGGGAGGCTGAGGCAGGAGGATTGCTGTGAGTTCAAGACTAGCCTGGGCTACACAGTGAGTTCCAGGTTAGTCTCAACTACATAGTGAGACCCTGTCTAAAGAAAAAAAAAAAAATTATTTTTTCAATTTCAATTTAAATGATTTCTACTTTTTGCTTTCTGATTTCTAGCTTTGGGAGTGATTTTAAATTTTATTTTTGAATGTATAAATTCAATGCCATGAATTTCTAAGCATTGCTTTTGTAGAATCCCACAAATTTTCATAAGTTGTGTTACATTTTCATTTAAAGTTAAATTTTTGTTTTAGTTTCGCTTTTTTTTTTTGTGGTTCTAGGAATCAGACTCAGGGCCCTATATATGCTGGGCAAATACTTTACCACTGAACTATAACCCAAGACCTAATTCAAAATATTTTTAAAAATACTTCTTTCATCCATGTTTTATTTGTTTTTTGATTTTGAGACAGGGTACTGCTACGTAGTCCAGGTTGGTCTTGAACTCAGAGCGATCCTCCTGCCTCAGCCTTCCGAGTGCTAGGATTACAGGTATGCACCACCATGCCTGGCCATCCATGTTTTATTTACTAGTGTGTTGTTTAATCTTCAAATATCTTGAGTATTTCTAGCTATCTTATTAATTTCTAATTTAATTCCATCATAGAGGGCAAGTATTTTATATTTTTTACTCTTTAAGCTTGTTAAGGTGTGTTCTGCGGCTCAGCCTGTGGTTTGTCTTTGTTGAATGCTCCACTTGAGCTTCAGAAGAATGCGTATTTTGCTGTAGGGACGGAGTAGGCTACAGATGTCCATTACACAGCTAATGATGCCGAGTGCATTTATGTTCTGGCTTTCTGTCTGCCAGCTTTGTGTACTGCCGATAAGATGGGTGAGAAGTTACGGTGAGAGTGGTCACCTGTTTCCCCACTGCAGTTCCATCAGCCTTTGCATCACCGTTTTTGGAAATGGTTTATTGCTGTGTTGCCCAGGTTGGTCTCAAACTCCTGGGATCAAATGATCCTCTTGCCTCAGCCTCCTGAGTGCAAGCTGCCACTCTGAGAACATCATAAATTTTGAAGTGGGAATTTAATGAGTCACATGAATGAACAGAAATGGGAGTAGGGTACATTTCGGAATGAGGCTTTAAAGACCTCTACCTTTTTTTGCTTTCTAGTGGCTGCCAGGCTGCACCAAGAATGTGGGTAGTTTGTCTTTAGTGTCTTAGGTTGTCACTGAACTGGGGGCAACTGATGGCCCCTCCCCCAGACCTTAACACCTTCAAGAGCTACTCAGATTCAAGGCAAAGCTCTTCTCCAGAAGCGCCCTTTCCTTGAATTCTTTTCACATTTTCTTAGGTTTTGGTATTTCCTGTTTTGAAACTTAAACATCACAACCCTAAGTAACTTCTTTCACACATGGTGAGGGTTGCTGGCTCAAATTACACACTATCACTATAAAACATGCATTTTGAATGCGCCAGTTTTACAGTACCTGATGTTACATAGCACCTTTGAGGGTGCAGTGCTATTTTCCAACTTCAAGTCCTACGCTAGCTAGAGATGAAGCAAGTCAGCTGCCACGGATCCAGCAGCCATTCAGAAGGGCTCACCTTTTGATAACCAGCCCTTTCCCTGTCAAAGACACACGATTCTCAGGACAGGGCTGTGGGTCAACCTCACTCAGCAGAACCTTCCTTCGTGTTGGTGGATTGGCTCCCACCTCCGTCTCTCTTCCTGCTCTTGCTAGTTGTCAGCATTCCTCCACGTACTCAGCAGAATCTTAAGACCGTACATGCGCAGCCTTTTCATCCTCAAGGACCTCTTTGTCAAACGCTAGAGCTCATGTGTTTATCGTTACTCTCGGTTTTTGTTCACTGTCTAGAATGTTTGTCTGTCTCCCTGACTAAAACATAAATTTCCCGAGAGCAGGGACTTACCTGTTTGTTATTCCTGGAGTATCTTCTAGTATTTAAAGAGTGCTTGCCACAGAGTATGTACTTCAGGAATGTTTGTTGAAATATTTTGATTAAATTACTGATTTTTTTCAAAGTAACTTTGTATTTGAATTCTAATTAAGACAGCAGACACAAGGCAAAAGGAGTGTGATTATTACAAGGAAATGAGAATTAAGTGACTGATCATATGAACACTCAAGTTGTAAACTTTGAGATACAAATGAACCTCGCATTACAAGCCTTCGTAGATGCAAATCACAGACGTGTCGCAGCCGTGCTGCCGTGCGCTGTGGTGTGACAATGGATAGCGCAGCAGTACAGTGCTCGGAGCCCAGGATGTCCGGAACCAAGAGGAGGAGCAGTGGTGACGGGGAAGGGACTGCTGGGAAGGGCAAAGCAGTGTACATGGTGTATTTGTGTCGAAGGTGTAGGAGTCTCACTTTGTTGGACTTAGGAACAAATCCAACTTCCAGATGTTCTCCAGGAATGGAACTTGTTAAGTCAGGGAGCTGTTTTAACACACACAAAAAAGTAATGAAGCAGAGATGAAGACTTATGTAAGTGCCGGAGAGGGAGAAATGATTCAAGTGGACAGCTTTACACATTGGCATCTTTTTGTCTTAAAAGTAGTTATTGACCAACACTTTCTATCTTCTTTCAGACTAGTCCTGCCTTAAAGGACTGCCACAGTATAAGATGCCAGAGAGGTGATGGTGCTGTATTCTTCGGGAGATTTAGGTGGGCAAGAGGTTGGTTCTCTTATCTTGGAAAAGAGCAGATTCAACAACTAATCAGTCGTGCACTGCCAAAGAAGCCCTTCCCAGCTCAGAGTACATCTTCTACCCTGCTCTAAGTGTGCAGAACCCGCACTAGAAGTGCAGCATAAATAGGGAAGAAACAGGCATAAAAGACAGACTAGGAAGCACGGTCCTGGAAAACTGAAAACAGGAAAACTCATCGGCTCATGCTTTCAGGGCTGTGAGGTGCCTCTAACTGGCAGGGGCTCCTGCCCAGTCCCTCTGAGGTTGGGCCTGGCGCGCCCTGCAGAGGTGATCCACACACAGGCGCACTGGTGTGGCAGGCCTGCCTTCCCGCGCTGCACCAGGACAGGGAACTCCGCACCCGTTCTGTTTTAGCCTAGGTCCAAGGATGCACACGGATGGAGCAGACTGAAGTCCACCTCCTGCTGCATGGCGCAGCCTCACTGGAGCCCAGCTCGAGCAGTCACGCAGACAGCTTGTCAGCCGACCTGCAGACAGGTAACTGAGGTGTGCGTGCTTAGACAGCAGTAACGATGGAAATGTTAGGTACATATCAGGCTTTTAGGCTCTGCTCCGGCACGTGGCAGGTGTTTCATAAACATCTATTGTGGTCAGATTTGTGTTTCTTCTAAAAATAGTGCCCTAGGAGAATGTTAACAGGGCCAGGGATTTAGCTCAGTGGTTTTGCCGCCTACCTTGCAAGCGCAAGGTCCTGATTTGATCCCTGGTACCAAAAACAACAACAAAACAGAATATAACAAATCAATTTACATGATTTAGTAAAGTGTTTGTTCCAACTTAAAAATTGCTAATTTCAACAAGGCCTAGAAAGCATATTAGAAATCATCAGGGGGCTGAGTGCTGACCATGGAAATGACTGCTGGATTTGAATCTGTCTCACGAATTACCAGCCAGGTGACCTTTGGTGTTACTTCATCTCTTTTCTCATCTGCTAAGCGGAGCTATTAGTAGCACCTACTTCTTGGGAGAGATGTGTGGACTGCGATAATGTATTATTTCAAGCATACAGATGTGCGGCATATGACAAGTGCTGCACAAGCATCTTATTATCACAGTAAGTCCCTGACTGAGGAACATTTTGAATTGCAGACTTTCACAGGTGTGCTATGTAAGACTCATTTTGACAGCTTCCGAAAGAACCCTAGTTTTCCCGGAACGGAACTCGCTTGTACATCAGGAACTTACTGTACCTGCACAGAAGCGATTTGGAGACTAGAGCTTTCACCTGCCCCTCCCCCGTCACTATTTGTTCGTTCTTCTGCTATCTCACCTCAGCATATACTTAAAATCAGATCTTTTGTATGTTTTCATGATTTTTCTATGGTCAGGAAAGCTAAATGCTGATACGTACTCTATCCCAAACTGTCCGTCAGTCATTTTAAGAACTGCTGGTTCTGTTCTGGTTGCCTAGGGATACCATTTATACCCCCTGCTACAGGCTCAAATGGTATTGGTTTTTCAGTTTCCAGCCTCACTGCCACTTCTTCCATGAGGTTATTCTGATCTTGTATTACTTTACACCTTTACATGTAAGCCCCTAAAGGGTAGGACCATAATTTCTAGATTTTCTGCTCATTTCCACTCCCAAGAATGGAGCAAGTAAGCATTTGTTGAATGAATATCTAAAGTCTAAAAACAGCTTTACTAAAAACTCATTAGATTTCTAAAGAAAGATAAAAGGAGGGTAGAGTCAACATGCCTGTAATCCCAGCATTTGGGAGGCTGAGGCAGGAAGATTGCCTTGAGTTCAAGGCCAGCCTAGGTTGCACAGTGAGTTCAAGGCCAGCCTGAATTTAGGGAGAGCCTGTCTCAAAACAAACAAAAAATCCCAACAACAACAACAACAACAACAAAAAACCCAAATGGGCCAGGGATTTAGCTCAGTGATTCTGCCACCTGCCTCGCAAGTGCAAGGTCCCGAGTTCAATCCCCGATACAAAAGCAAAAACCAAGAAAGATAAAAATGCCTCATAATTGAACAATGGATTAAGACACAAGGAAGGGAAAAGTTGTTTACATACAAAAAGAAAGACACGTGATTTATTGCATTAAAAAACTTTATTTCATTTAAAAGGTCCAATATAAGCCAAATTAAATTCCCAAATTTACAGCTACATTTAGAGTTCCTGAACTAAATGGCACTGAGTTGAATGTCCTATTAAAGGAGGTCTTTACTGTTATCACCATTTCCCCAAAGTTGTTTGTGAGCAGAAACTGGTACTGTAATACACAGAATCAGAAATTTCAGATGTTACCTCTTTCATGGAGAAGTTAAAGAAAGCAAACTAGACTTTCTGCTTTGTGTGAGGATAAAAAACACTACAGAACAGGGCCTGAGCGCTTTGACACACAAGGTGTAACTATAAAGGAACTTACGGGGGTGCTGTGTCCTTTCATTCAAGTAGTCCCTGTATTTGTTCCAAATGCTGGTGCTGTACAAGTACTATCTTGGACAGCACTTTGTTAGTGCCCTCGTCAGGTGCACACCAGAAGAGGTGGTTGCTCAAGCTGGGGAACACACGGTCACACGCAACCACAAAGCAATGAAATAATTTTCATAGTGCACTAGCAATTGTAAGGACCACTTTGCAAAAGTTTCTAGTAACAGCATCATTTACATAAAAGTGATACAGGATCTAAGTTCTGCTATGTGTGATGATACACTAAAAAGAGCTTGTTACTTTATAACTACACCTTGGATTTCATTAGATGTGATAAATCTAACAGGGTGTCTAATGAGTCCATCCGAAAATCGTTTCAGCAAAGGAGTCAAACAGCCCGTGAAAGAGAAGACATGGCAGAGGGCCGGAGAGTCATCTTTCCACCGTTCTCTCAGAGGACAGACCTGGTTGGGCCCCAGGACAGAAGTTACCAGAAGGGAGGCTTCACAACTCCATCTAAGGAAGACCTTTCTAACAGAGCTGCTCAACAACTGAATGGACTGCTTGGTGAGGTAGAGTCACTGAAGTATTCAAGGTGGAAAAATCACCCTTGTAGAAGGGACTCCTGCATTGGTTAAGAGGTTAGACTTGGATGAACCTCAGGGCTCTTTCAATTCTGAGATTCTAGAAAATTCCCTCAGGGAATTCAGAAGAGAATTCCTAAAAGGAAAGAGAAAGCACACATATGTATACTTTTAGAATCCTCTTGAATTTACTTTTTTTTTTCAAAAGACACAATAGAAAATGTATAGTCTACTGTCCTTAAAATGCATATTTACCTTCCTTCTACTCATAATGAGGAAGGGTTTATGATTTCTTTATATTATAAAGAAAAGATGGAGGATTATATTTATAATTTTTGTAAATATTTTAGAAAAAAATGCTTAAAATCTAGTAGTCAATGCCCTAGAAACTTTATAGATTTTTAGATAATATGCACAGATACAAATACATTATCCATTAAATACAACTCACATCTGTGTTTTATTATACTCTAAAATATACAGGAATCTTGATGTACTGAAAGAGTGCAAGTAAATACAGTATTCAAGCAGTCACTATTTCTATGTACATGCTCATTAATTCTTCAAAAACCCCACAAAATTATCAAATAGATCAAAATACTGTTCTGTGTTTTCACACTTTATATTCAGAAAAACCAGCTGATAATTTACAATGTCATAAAGTTTCCAGTTTCACAATACAAAAAGGATAAAATTAAATGGGGTATTTTGTTGCAGTTCGTGGAACTTTACTTAGACCATTAAGACCCTCTACATAGGTAAAATCATTTTTACTGGGAAAGTGACAGTTACAGTAAAAGCAGAATGACATAAAGTGTTATTTGAAAGCCTAAATGTCAGCCTTTTCTGTTTGTTACTTGAAAGGTAGTCTTCAATTTGGCAGGCAACAACTTCTCCCTCCAAATAGTAACAAGTTATAAACATGCTACTCTTAAACTGAATTAGGACCTCCAGGCTTTTGTATTTTAAATCTTGCCCAATATAGAAATGCCTTCCAGGGGATTTGATAATGATTTAACTTAGGAATAATGGGATTTTTTTTTTCCTTTTTATTCTTCACTTTTCAAAACTAACAGATCAAAATAAACAAAAATCCCAAACCCATTGTAGAGGCACAAAAAAACCATATATCAACAAAGGTGTATCATCCAAAGTAGTGAGGTTGAAAATTCCGTTCCCCAGGACCACTTAATTGCAATAGGGTGAAATAATCAACTTTTTGATTTCATGAACTTTTTCTGGGAAATTCTTTACCTTTTTAAACAAAAATAGTTCAATTTTAAACCCCCAATCATTCAAAACTTGGCAACAGCCACAACCTCAATCCATTTCACAAGTATTTTCACCCGTACTGCATCCAGTCAGCTGGTTTTTTATTCTAATATTATAAAAATTGGAATTTTAAAATTTTTATGTAAAAGAAAAAATGCAAAAATACATCTGCTTTCTTTCATGGTTTAATATAGTATTGGAAGGCTTTCAGATGTTTACTCTTAAAAAAATCAACATTTAAAACAAAATCTCGGCTTCATTTTCAGAAATATTGAAGTTTGGTTTAGATAATGTCTCATTTCACCTGCTCCAGTTTCCACAAAATGTCATTCATTAAAAAATCTTTAAGTCATTTGGTCCTTTGGCAATTTGCTGTGCACATAATGCCTACTGTACCAAACTTTTATTGCCATTAAATTTAGTTGTAATTTTACTGATAAAATTTAAGTCTAGTGTTCTTATCTCTTCTTTTACAATAGTGTTGCTTATGTAAGCAGGTTAGGGTGCACCATGTCCCCATTTATTTCTGGCATTGCAAAGCCAAATTAAAGAATTCCACAAAGCACTTTGACATCAATGTATTTTTCTCTGGTCAAGTCTATTTCAAGATTCTAGAAGTTCCTTTTGCAAAACTTGCCTTTAAAATTCTTCTTCCTAATGTTATTACATTTCTTACATTCGTTCACTGGCGATCTTTCCTCTTAGGTTGAATTGAACAAGAAAGTGCTTTTTTCCTGAAAAAGCAATTTGAAACTTCAGTGTCAGAACTCCTGCCTCAGACCTTTGGCTCAGCCTTTCAATAGGTCTCAGAATCGGAGTCATTGAGTTCATCCACGTCTGTGTATAAGTACTCTTGTTCTCCACCAATATTGTTAAAACTGCAATAGGAGCTAGGTTCATTCCTCATGATGGGCAAAGCTTCAAAGCTGACTGTTTTTGAGGTGTTGGTATAACGGTTAATGGCATTGAACGTCAAGGATGATAAAGGACTACTTGATGAGACAGGCATCATGGTAGCCAAAATGAGAGCCAGACAATCAGCAACATCCTTATTGGGAGCACATGCCAAAGCTGGGGTATAGCCTAGAATGAAAGATAAAATTTAAAAATTAACATTCTGAGACTTAACTTCCCTAAATATATGTAAATAAGCTTAAAAGACTTTGGCTTTAGACATATTTTAAATTATTTGGCTTACAAAAGATTGTGTTAGGGGCAGGGATTTAGCTCAGTGGTTTTGCGCCTGCTTCGCAAGCGCAAGGTCCCAAGTTGGATCCCCGGTACCAAAAAAAAGATTGTTTTAACCAGAATGAATCAGTTTTCCAATAAGTACAAAAAGACAGAAACACCAAGTGTGGTGCATACCTGTAATCCTAGCGCTTGGAAGGCTGTGGCAGGACTGCTACAAGTTTGAGGCATGCTTGGGCTGTATAGCGAGTTCAAGCCCAGTCTGAATTACATAGCGAGACCTCGTCTCAAAAAACAAACCATAGAAAGCAAGGGTGGGAGGAGAATGTATAGAGTGAACAAAGAAGAAACTCAGGCCCAGAGATGGATGATTTCCCAAAGATGTCACAACTTCTCTACATCCAACTAAACTCACAGAGTGTATTAGGCCACAAGAAGAAAACATACAGATTGGTGAAGCTTCCTTTAGAATGGTGAACTGAGGCTTACTATTCATAGTTATGTATTAAATGATGCTAGATTATTGATTTAAATTTTCTTTTTCTCTTGGGGTCATTAAGAGTCCATTGAAGAAAAACAATGGATAAATTAGATTAAACAAATGAACTTTACAAACATGTAAATCAAATATTTCCCTTATAACTTTTTAAAATGTAAAAACTTTTTTTTTTTTTTTTAAGCAGGAGACAGCTGACCTCAGCCATAAAGCCTTACAATACAAGAAACCAAGGAGGAAACACTTGGTACCTCAGCTGGTATAAGACTCAGTTTTGAGGATGGAGTAAGAAAGATGCTAAGAATACACTGTGTGATGGCAAGTTGTGATTATTCCACATGGAACTTTTAGTTTACACTCACTATTTAAAGCCATGTTAAGCCAGTAAATATTGAAAGAGCAAATGTCTTAAAATCTTATTCTACAGCTTCATTTGTTATCACATATCTAGATACACCTATATTTTAGCCTTCACACACATATACATTTATTTTAAAAGCCACATATGTTTTTGAAATAGCAAGATGACTTAGTATAAAACAACACTGATAACCACCATCCAGGTTAAGAAAGAGTACTATACCAGCGTAACCGAAGTTCCATGTACTCCCTTCCCTAATCACTACCTTTTCCCTCCTCCCACAATGGTAACCACTACTTTGATCTTCTGTGTTAACCACTTCCTTATTACGTGTGCTCAAAGACTAAAGTTTTGAATTTTTTGAGTCTACTATAGATTCATGCAGTATGTATACTTTATATCTTGCTTTTTTTGCTTACATTTATGTGTGTGAGATGCTGTTGTAGGTAACTGTAGTCAGTTCCTTTTCACTATTATATAATATTTCACTGTGTAACTATGCCACACACTTATACATTTTACCTACTGGACATTTAGCTGTGTCAGTTTTCCCATTTTTACCAAAGCGAACAACTACTTGATTACCCTATAATGCAACATGTAGAGGTACCGTGTGTGTGTGTATTTATAGGTATTCATTATGTAGCATAAATGTACTAATCAACATATATCATGTATTAATACATTTTTGGAAAAAAAGACTGCTCAGAATGACTACATGCATGCTTCACTGCCCACAGTTCTTTTAAGGGCTCTTCTAAAGAAGGTTCTGGCTACTGCTACACCTGCTGCTGGTAGGCAGAATGACCCATTAGGCTACGATGCCCTGAATAAGAGTGGAAATATAGAGGGACACGTGCCTCAGGAGAGTCTTCCACTGAGAACACAACTAAAAACAGATTCCTGTCTTCTGCATGCTGCCTGGGGTTGGTGTGGTAAGCAAGAGAGAAATGCAAGAGAGACAAGCTCCTTGGGGATATTCCATGCAAATATGATAGTCATCTCATCTGAGAAAAACCAAAGTACCACTAATCCCATTTTTAGTGAATGTAGGTAACTACGTCACTAGAAATGACTATAAAGTTAGAATGATATTTACTATAACTTGTCACCTTCGGACTACAATTACTATTAGACATTACAAAGTGTCTCAGAAGATACCCAGGTCATCACAGCTGGGTCTTATTACCATTTTTTACTGTCCTTTTTATTTTATAAAGATAACAACAGGTATTTAAAATCTCAAAAATGGTCAACACAGACTTGCAGTAACTATTGGTGGTAAGTGACTTGGTGTTTTGTAATGTGGCTAGAAGTATATATTAATATTTCTTTTTTTGGTACCAGGGATTGAACTCAGGACCTTGCGCTTGTGAGGCAGGTGCGGCACCACTGAGCTAATTCCCCCGCCCTTTATGTTATAATTTTAGGTTCCTTATTTTCATCTATGTAGTGGCTACATTTCCAAAAATACAGTTTACTGATAATGAAATTTACTGATAATGAAAGTTTTGTTTAAAACTGGGTGAGCCTGAACTTGGCTTCATAGGTGCTATCTCCACATCTATGGATCTCAAATACTACTGATTCCAAATCTCTATGTCCAACTTGTATCTTGTGATCCAGACATCTAAATTGTGCCTTTTGGGGTTTATACTGATGGCCCCAAATGAACTCAGTTCTATCCCCTTGTATTCCTATCTCAATTAATGATACTTCCATCTACTCAAGTTCAGCTGGGTCGATGGTATGTGACTTCTTCCAACCACCAATCTCATCACCCTTTCACCAAGTCCCAGTGAGACCACCCACATCTTTTCATCCCCAGTGGTTCTACCTTAATTCCGGGCACTCTCTGTGTCTCTAACACTTTATTCAGTTCCCGACTTTAGTCTTGCTCGTCTCCAGACTAACTGCTTTCTTTCTAATGCACAGATCCCTTCTTACTGGACCTAATATAGTACTTGTATTCATCTCATGTTACATCTTCTAACAACCTACACTTGCAGCCTGGAAGTTCCCTCCTCATTTTCTACGTGCCCTTCAGATTTTGGCTTGGAAATCTCTTATTTCGGGATGCCTTTTCCGATCCGTAAGAAAAAAGGTTTGAACACCTTCTGATAAAGTATCGTAGGTTTACTTCAAGGGCATCGGGACAGCCTGTTTATGCTCTTTCTCCATTTAAGGAACACACTATCTATCTCTACTCTACGCCACAGTTTCAGAACTCAGCACTGTGCTTGGTATATGCATTCAAATTCTCACTGAAATCCTAATACGTCCAGGCACTTTACTCAGCACGAGGAATACATCAGTGAACACAAATGACAAAGATTCTCTACTTTTATGGAGATTATAAGTTGTCTCTAAGGAAAATAGACGAAAACAGGTAAACAAGGACTGAGAGTGCTGTGGTAGGGGAATGTAGCAAGTTGCAGTGCAAAAAAAAAGTAATCAAGATAGGCTTCAATGAGATGAAATTTGAGCTAATACTTGAAACAGGAGAGGGATTCAGTCACAGAATGGTTAGTGTTTTCCACGCAGAGAAAGCCAAAACAATGATCATACTATGTGCGCACCCCTATAACAGAGGAGCTGGTGTGGCAGAATGAAGCAAGGGAAAGACAATATGAGATCAGGAAAGTAACAGGGTCGAGGATCTTACAGGTCACTGTAAGAACTAGTTGGTGAATCAGATTCAGAGGTGAAACATGTTCATATCAATTTAAAAAGGATCCACAAGAGCTGTACCAGAAGAGAATGCAGATTTAGAGTATCCTGTAGGGTGGAATCCACAGTACATACTGACGACAGAGTCACTGGGTATGAGGAAGAAGAAGCAAGGAAAACTCAAATTCTTTCCACGAGCAGTAAAAAAGACAACTGCCTTCTATTGGGATCAGGGTGGCTCTGATGGAAGTGGGTTTGCGGGGGAAAGGAAGCAGCACTGACATGTCGTTCACGTCTAGGCGTGTTAGAGCCCGCTGTTTATTAGACATTCATATGGTGTGGTCAGAGGCAGATGGACGTATCAATGTACAATATGAGATGTTTGGGCCTGCAATATAAATTTGAGAACTCTCGGCATATAGTTTTTGTTTGAACTATATGAGGTGAACTAGATGGTCAACGTAGACCGAGAAAGCAAAAAGAATCTAGGACTGAGTCCTAGAGCCCTCCAGCAGTAAGAAGTTAGAGGAAATTTTGTAAATGAAAAATTGAGAAAGTATAATTTGTAATGTAGGAAGAAAATTATCAATAAAGTATCAGGTCCTGAAAGCCAAATAAAGTTTACCAAAAGAAAAGGAGTAATCAGCTGGCCAAAACCTGATCTGCCATGTGGAGGTCCTTTGGTGATCTTACTAAGAATGGTTCTGCTGTGTGGTGGAGGCAAAGGCCTAGCGATTACAGAAGACCTAATTCCTGAGCAGTCTTGCCGCCACAGGGAACAGAGGAGCAAGGTGGGCGCTGGCAAAAGTAGTGTGATTCATGTATCTTTAAGGTGACAGAACGAGGTGCTGGAAGTGAAGCTCAAGGTAGAGTACTTGTGTAAAGCCATGGGTATATTAGAAGTTATCTACGGAAGACAGAAAGAAAGCAAGTAAACCAGGACTGCAATGCTATGGGAGGGGAGTGTACACTACGTGCCAGCATGCGCGAACCCTGGGTTTGATCCCCCATACCAAAACAAGATGACAGAACTAACGTTTACACACTGAGGGAGAATAATCTTGGAAGAGAATAAAAAAATAGTTACTGCAGGACAAAAAAAAAAAGGTTATTAATTCTGCCTAAGAATGATGCTTAAGTAGGGCCTTAATAAATATTTTTTGAGGCCAGGCATGGTGACGCACGCCTGTAATCCAGCACTCAGGGGGCTGAGGCAGGAGGATCGCTGTGAGTTCGAGACCAGCCTGGGCTACATAGTGAATTCCAGGTCAGTTTCAACTACAGAGTGAGACCCTGCCTCAAAAAACCAAAAAATAACAACAACAACAAACAAGTATTTTTTGAAAGCACAAAACCTTTGGCTACTAAGATGAACAGTAGTGTTAAGTGTAAATAGTGAACACTAACTCTGGCTTAAGAGATGATTTGTGAGCCTACGAGTTCATCTATTAGATGGACTTTCCTGTTTCTCTTATCCTTGCTCCTTTGCCACAATGTACTACTCAATATAAGCTTCAGTTCTCTTCTTTGCCCAGTAAAAATATCCACATTTCCCTCAAATATAGAGCATCAAAGGATAAAAGCTTCTAACAGGATATAGGTTAAGGGAAGAGAATACAGAACCTACTTACCATTTTCATCTACTGCAAGTACACTTGCTCCTTTTCCCAAAAGTTCCTGAACCACCATTGTTAGCCCATTTCGGGCAGCAACATGCAGAGGTCTGGGGGGAAAAAATCACATGTACACGTATGTGCAATGCATGTACACAGACACAAACAGCTGGGAAAGAACATTTTTGCCATGTTGTGAAGACCCAGAAACAAACTTGAGACACTGACTTCTAACATCAATGAAAATGGGTGGGAACAGAATTTCTGTGCAGTGCTCTCTCACCACCCCTCACTGTGTAGAAGCTTAGCCATGGCTGTATAGGCGTATTTCCCACTCTTATCAATCCCGTTACCTTCCTTGTTTAAAAAGATTTAACCAATGAAACTTACTCTTAAGTTGTTTTAAGAAATGAGGTTGGCAAATATATATAACAATATATAAGACGTGTCAACTGCAGTACTACAAATTCTAACAGCCTTTAAAAACATAGGCTCCATGCCTAAATTTTGGAGCCTCCAGGGACCGACCCCAAAATGTGAATCCTATTTTAAGTTTTCTTCTGTACCAAGTCTAAAGTGTAATAGCAAGGGGAAACTGGGAAAGGATGATGGGAGACACAGCTCTTAAGATCTCAGTCAGCCGAAGGCTTGAGGCTCATACTGAAAATTTGATTCTTTATGAAATCGCTACCTTAAAGACAGATACAAAAAGCTGCTTGCATCATTTATTGTTAGCAGTCAATAATACTTTTACAATTCGTTCCATGGAACACACAGAATAGCAGTTCCACTGTCCTTCAGAATATTATATTATGAGCGTAAATGCATTGTCAACCCCCTCCTCCACTAATGTCAATGTTCTAATAGTTTCTGTTCAAACACATAGTAATAGTTTTTTTGTTTGTTTTGTTTTTTGAGACAGGGTCTCACTTTGTATTTGAGACTGATCTGGAACTCACTATTGTAGCCCCGGCTGGTCTCCAACTCACAGTGATCCTCCTGCCTCAGCCTCCCAAGTGCTGAGATTACAGGTGTGCGCCACCATGCCCGGCCTATAGTAATAGGTTTTTGAATTGTGTTTTTTCAGTTGTAAAAACTGTTCTTTACTTCTTAATTGCTTCTGTGACTAATATGTGATGATTTCATCCCATGTTTGAAAAAATACATTTACCTGTTTTTATAATTAGATCACAAAGTTTACACTGAAAGTACTCACGTTTGCAAGGCGGCGTTGGTTGCATTGATGAGGTTTCTATCTGTTATCTTTTCCAGTATTAACAAGGCACTAGTTTCATGACCCTAAAATTGTGGCAAAATACTCTTAAATTGGGTATGATTAAAAATTTATACATTCAACAATCTCTAATCTTAGTCCACACATATGTATAACATATACTTCTGTATAGTGTTAACACCATAAATTTTCTTGGCTAATACCTTACATATTTGTCTGAAGATGTAAGGAGAATAAATAGAGGGAGAAGACAGGAAGAACTAAGGTTTAAAGAAAGACAAAACTGTGTTTAGGTTGCTCTTCCAAAGTTTAAAAAGCAAATATATTTTTTTAAGAAAAAAATTGATGCTAGTAGTCATCTTAGCTTTCATTTTAGTGAAGCAGAGAAATATTTAATGCCACTTTGATACTAACAATGCAAATATGTTCTTATAAAATGTGTACTTACCTTGCCACAAGCCAAATGGAGGGCGGTGTTTTTACTGTTATCTTGCAAAGTCAGATCTGCACTAGCACTGCTAACCAGCATCTCTGAGAGGAAAAAGTGCATCAATTCTTATGTTTATGAACATTTTTCTTACATTACCAATAACTCAATGTACAGAAATGAAGACATAGAGCGAAAAGTATCCCTTGAGCAAAAATTCAACTGCAAGAAAAATACGGTAACACAATCCTATGCCGTCAAACGGTTTTATGGCGCAGTTACATTCTTCCGTAAATCACACATACTAACAACAGCAATTAACATTTTGTGAGGGCTTACAAAATTTCAAATACTGCTTTATGTGCTTGGATTTATAGTAATTTATTGAAATCCTATAACAATTCTACATAGGAGGCGTCATTAGTCTTCTTACTTCACATATGAAGAAACAGGCATTAAGTCACTTAGCTACCCTTGGAACTCACAGGCAATCTGACTCCAGCCATGGCCACACAGTTGTTAAGCAATACATTGCACTGCTTTGCTAAAATGAACTCTTCAACCAGTAAGGGCAAATGAAAATTCTCTCCCTAAATTAAAATGTAGGTTGCAAAGTAGCTGAGTTTTTAAGTCTCAGGAGTGGTAACTAGTGAGGTCAGGAAGCCCTGGGATCTAAGTTATACACAATATATGTAACTAGAAGAACAGACTCTGAACAGTTTCTTTACCAACTGTGTTTGTTTGTCCATTTTCTGCAGCCATCATGAGTGGTGTTTTCCCAGAAGAGTCTACAGAGTTGACTTGAGCATTATGGCTGAGCAGCAACTGTAAGCACTCTACATGGTCTGTGAAGGCAGCTGCATGGAGAGGAGTTCTGTGGCAGAGGGGAATTGAGATCCTTGACTGAACTACAGACATCAGTGAAAAGTATTCCTTAATTTATGACAAGGAATTTTCAAGAGTTTATATTAGGGTTTAAAAGCACTGCCTGGATACAAGTAAAGTCAGTGCTGCATAAGTTTGTTATAAAGGCCTTAGTTAAAGCAGAAGTAGTCTAAAATAACACTCAATCATACAATTACTAACACTACATTATAAAATGAAGTAAATTTGAAAAACATCCCGATTCAACAACTACTACGTATTCCAACTGCTGGACTCTTTTTTGGCCTTTACTGCTATTTAGAACACTTAACTTTTGTTAACAATGATCACTAGGTAAAAAGCAGACTTTTTTCTGAGAGAGGGTCTTGCTGCACATTTTAGGCTGGCTTGGAACTCACGATGTAGTCTAAGCTGGCCTTGAACTTGCAGCAATCCTCCTGCCTCAGCCTCTCGAGTGCAAGGATTACAGGCGTGCATCACAACTGACAACAGACTTTTTAAAATGGAGAAATCTTTAAATTTTGAAATAGTTTGTAAAAGAAGACTGGCTAGAAACCATAAATACATACAAAAGCCCCGCAATACAAAATTTTAAAATAATTCATACTTGGAAATGTACAACACAATTTTTCAATTATTTATGGATTCTCTAAATTTTCACACACGAGGCTAGTAGTTGAACTCTTACCTTCCTTTTGAATCTGTGACATTCACAATGCTGGCACCTAATGTATCAATTAACATTTCAGCAGCACCTTCATTGTCATTTATCCTGTGTAAGGTAACAAAGCAATCACTCACAGCAAGGGTGTATTTCTTAAAAAACTCAAACCAAATCTGATTCATTCTGGTTTTACTTACACAGCACAATGCAACGGACTGAAAGCATTTCCTTCCATCTTTTGGAAAACTTCTTGTTCTAAAAGAAGTTCTACACAGGTCTCATGACCTATTAGACAAACAAAAACCAGGTGTTAATATCCAAAAAAAGATATTGGCAAAAATCACAAATACAAGTTCCTTCCCCCATCTTATCTCCCAGTTACAGAGTCTAAACCTTAACCACTGTTCTGGAAAGTTTCTATTCATATGTATGTATGTAGATAGATATTCATAGATTTATATAGATATAGAGATAGATATTCATATATAGATATATAGAGATACATATGACTGTATATATACACACACACTTTTAATATATATGTGATGTCTTGTTTTGCAACTTTTTATATAATGAACTGTATACGTCCTTAAATAGCATGTAGAGAAATCATTTATTTTTTGGAAGTACTGGAAGTGGAACCCGGGGTGTTCCGCCAGTGAACTACATCCCCAGTCCGTCCATCTGTCTGTCTGTCCACCTGACTGTCCACCCACCTATCACTTGGTTCACGAATTTAAGAAATCTGCCAACTTATTGAAAAGTTCTGGAAAACATTCTTCATAAAAATTACATTACATGTAATACATTTATTTTTAAAAACAAACATTAAAAATGTTTCACTTTCTAATGTAGTCACTTTCAATAGCTATAACCCACAGACCTTGTGATCAAAGGGCTCGAGGAGTGCAGACTGACAAAAGGGAAATCTGTGGCCCTGGTTATCTCCAGAAACCCTTACTGGATGATACCACACCGACAGTCTCATCACTATGTATCATGTTTATGAAATAGAGAATGACAGAACTGTTCTACTGGTATTTCAGAAGGCTATCCTGAGAATGCTTTAGAGCTGCATAAAAATCCATCCATCCATCCATCCATGGGCACTGGGGACTGAACTCAGGGCCCCTGCAATGAGCTTCATTCCCAGCCCCCCTGCTTCAGTCTGTCAGAGTGCTGAGCATGCATCACTATGAGCACTTAAAAAAAAAATAAATAAATAAAATTTTCAAGGAAGAGATGACACAATCTAAGAATTTTATATATATAGGTTGCTATTAAATGACTGTATAAACTGAAAAATCTGAACTTTACGATCAGTATGTACAGCCAAGTCTTTTTTAAAACTTGGTCATCGTTTTAATTTTGAGAGAAAGTTGTCACTGGAGTGTTGCCAGTTTTCTTTCCAGCTGTACAATAATTACTAGTCAAAGTAAAACCATTTTACATATTCTACTTTGAGAATACCAAATTATAAAGCATATTTTTGGCTATAAATATGGTATTAATTTTAGACTGTCTGTACGGTCTCTTATTTCATATAACCAGTACACATTTCATTTCTTTCAGCTCCATTCTTTGCTACAGTCTGAAAATTAGACACATCTGTTGATTACTTTAAATGACCAGGCATGTAGTTTGTGCAAAATTCAGTCTCTAATACCAAATGTTAAAGTGTCAAAGTTTAGCAGTAAGAATAGAGTTCTACATGTAGATCTCATGAGAAATGTTACATAGAGAGCAACTCTCCAAAGAACAGAGCAGTACATTAAAATTGAATGCTCTTCCCGATGGACAACACTGTATTTTAGAGTCTGATTTTTTTTCAGTGATTATCACTGATATGTTTTTTAAAAATTAATTGATAAAAAGTCTTTGCTTTGAAATAGTTTATCTTATTAACTTTTTCATAAACAAAACTCACATTCGGGGTTGCTTTCCCATTATACTGGATATTTTGGGTTTCTTCATATTTACAAAATATTACATTATAAAAACAAATCAAATTTCAATGGCAAAATAATGTCTTCTTTGATTTATGATTAATTTTTGGTCACCATATTGTCTTATAATTTTCAAGACAGTTATGGCTAAGAATATATGGTAGTAAAACAGATCAAACTAAGCTTTTAAATTTGCAATAGATTTATGTATTTAAGTTTTTTATGATTTTACTAGTACTTGAAAGATGACCAATAAGGATGACAGGGAAATCCTCAGGAGTTCTCACTACTTCTGCCTTAAAAAAACCGACCACCACCACCACCACCACAAAAGATGCCAGGTATGGTGGTGCATGCTCGGAGTCCTAGTTCTCGGGAGGCTGAGACAGAACAGGATCACTGTGAGTTCAAGGATAGCCTGGACTACATAGTAAGACCAAAGAATCTCCAAAGAAAAACGCTTATGAAAATTTTGAATTAAATTATAATTTCATGAGTCAGACTTCTCTTCTTTCACTGCAGTTCAACAACACTGTTAGAAAGATGCCCAGAGAAAGAACCATGAAGCAGCTGCTCAGAAAGATAGCACAGCTCAAAAGCCACTGCAAAATAGATGCTATCTTGAACTACAGCTTTGCTGAGTACGCCGTTGTAACTAACATTAATCTCGATACCACACTGAAACTTAGAACAAAATCTGCGAAATCTTAAGTCCAAACACTGACAAGCCTGATGTACATACTGTACTGTGTATGTTGTAAGACGAGCAAATCTATGGCCCGTGCAAGGAAAAAATTAGCATCTCAACATGCTTCAATACGTACATTATTTTAGTAAGCCAGCCTCCATTTTTAATACCTATACCTTGAAAATAGCTTTCTGGGGCTGGGGCTTTAGCTCAGTGGTGCAGCACCTGCCTCGCAAGCACAAGGTCCTGAGTTTGATCCCCCATGTGTGTGGGGAATAGCTTTCTGCTTCCCTCAGTGATCCTTTGAGTCTACCTGTAAAAGGAATGGGTGTGACTGTGGGCCTCCAAGAGGTGAGGCTGATGGCTAGTGTGTTCTAACCTCCAGCAACGTTAACCTCTGAAAAAGTCCCTCCTCTCTGCTACGGTTTATTCCTTTAAAATGTGGAGCTAAGAAAACTTTCACAGGTTAGCCTTGCAGGGTGGCATTCCCCTGTAATCCTAGCACTCTGGGAAGCCACGGCAGGATGATCTCAAGTTTGAGCTCAGCCCAGGCAACTTAATAAGACCCTGTCCCAAATGAAAAATACAAAAAGGGCTGGGGATATAGCTCAGTGTGAAGGCCTTGGAGTCAATCCTCAGTTTAAAAAAAAAAGAAAAAGAGGGAAGGAAGAAAGTAAAAAGAAAAAAAAAAAAAAAGGAAAAAAAAAAAA